TAAAAGTGATCAAACCAAATTTGCAATGAGAACGGAGCCGGAAATAGTTGTATTAAAGAAAGGGTTTGCATGTGAATTTACACTGATTATAGCACCATTTTGCACATCTAAAATCGACACAACAATTCTGATCATTTCCAAATCACTTCAAAGTGGTAAAGAGAGTTTTGATGATATACGAATGAGTGGGGTAACAGCACAATCAACTCGAATTGATCCAGACGAAATCATTGAAGAGAAGAAAATAGGTGAAGGATCGTTTGGCATCGTGTCTAAAGGCACATTCAGAGGCAATCAAGTTGCCATTAAAAAACTGAAACAACGGGTTGTTATAGATAACAACACAAAGAACGATGAGTTTGAAAATGAAGTCTTGATGTTAGATAAGTTCAGGTGTGAGTATATCGTCCATTTCTATGGCGCTGTGTTTATCACAACAAAAGTGTGTATGGTCACCGAATATGCGCCATTTGGGTCGTTACAAAATTTGATAGACACTAAAAAGAGTGACGAATTTGGTCTTAAATTGCGAGTGAAAATGTGTCTTGATGCTATAAAGGGAATTGTGTATTTACACACAAATGGGATTTTACACAGAGACATCAAGCCAGACAACATCTTAGTCTTTTCGTTAGATCTGAGTTGTACAGATGTTACTAATGCAAAATTGACTGATTTTGGAAGTGCAAGAAATGTCAATTTACTGATGACGAACATGACATTCACAAAGGGTATTGGAACACCAAAGTACATGGCGCCTGAAATCCTTCAGAAACAAAAATACAAGGAAAGTGCAGACGTCTATTCATTTGCAATGACCATGTACGAGATATTTATATGGGGAGAGGCCTTCCCAAGAGAAATGTTTAGATATCCATGGGAGGTAGTCAATTTCATAACAGGTGGAAGACGACTTGACAAACCGGCAAATATGGACAATGCGTTGTTTAAGATAGTAAGCGATTCATGGAGAAACAATTCAAATGAGCGAAATGACGCGTGTAAAATAGAAAAAAGTCTTGGTGAGTATTATTTGAGTCTGAATTGATTTATTGTTGATTGAATTTGTGTTAAGTAACAAAATGAATGATAAGATTGACTTATTTAGAGGCAACAGCAGATGGCATAGTATTACTGTACAGTTGATCGCCATGCTACTCATTATAGCGTCATAAGCATGGAATCACAGAAGACAT